ACTAATGTAACGATAGTGAAACATGGAATCATATTGATATAATGAGCCCATTACAAACTACACCAAGATGTTTCCTCCAGTCTTCTACAAAGTTTATGAGATATATTTCTTTATTTAATCCAATTACTCATTCTGAATACACACAGATGCAAGATATATATATATATATATATATATATACACACACACACACACCAATAAAATACAAAAGAGGCACTTAATAGTCTCAGTTACACACACTGGCATACCCACATTCTGTACATAGATAATACATACAGTATGTGAAAAAGTCAATTAGTTTAGCCCATGTGAGCACATATTTTACCTGAAAAGTTTGTTTTACAATTTTATCAAATACATGGCTGTGGAACAACCTAGTCAGCCAGAAGGAAGAACACACGTCGGGAAGTCAGTGAAGGCGTTTCATCTAAACAAACACAAGCATCTGCCAAATATTTGAAAGCGGTGTGATGCTAAGGCCTGTTGTGGCTGAGTAAAAGACAGGCTTTCAGTGGTGCTCTCTCATATTTCTCATAAAACCCAGCAAAAGTGATGACCCTAACCTTATACACGATTACATTTAAATATTCAATAGCGGCTGATGTATAACACTAGTATCAGTCGAGTTTAAGGCGCTGCTCACTCAAACAAATACAAAAAATGAGAATTATGATGTTCATACCACTATAATAGAATATTAAAGACTCACATTTATGGGCTCATAGTGCTCACACAATTCATTGTCACAGTCAGTTTGTCATATCGCCTTGCTTTAACCCTCTCAGGGACAGTGGTTACTACAGTGGACAGCTTATCATGTTATCAGGTTACAGGATGCATGAAAAGGTTAAACTGCCTTTGCGTATCCATCCTTGAAATGTAAATATATTAATTCATATATATATATATATATAATGAATATGTTGCACTATTATTTACAACAGTCTTGACAGCAGAACAGCAATGTGACGAAACCATACTGCGCTTTTAACAGGAAGACAAAGATTGTCAAAAAAGTTCAGCACACCATACATCATTCGACCGAGGCCTGTTTTTTGCAGCCAGTTTGCTATCGAAGGCTTTCAGGTGAAACAGGCAGCCATATTTGAATGTCACATGTTCTGCAAACCTTTATTCCTACCTTACAAAGGGCCAAACCGAAAAAATTGAATAAACGTACCAGATACTAATTGGGGGGGTTCCATGAAAAATGTGTTCATAACCCTCCTTGTTGATGGTTGATGAAATGCATCAAAAGAGGTGGGTTTAATGAGTCACAAATGTTTTGCACAATAACTTTGAATGACTCCTGTTGTGGCAATGGTCTTGATCAACGTTCCCTCTAAGTTTGCATGCGTCTGAGCATTCACACAAACTCCCTGAGCATTCCTTGGCCGATAGTGAGCAACATCAGACATGCGCATGGCAGCCAAAACGGAAGATCATAAGTTACATGATGTGGCTATGTTACCAAAAAAAAAAAAAAAAAAAATCAAACCACCTATATTCACCAAAATAGAAGATATGATTGAATATTTTTTTTTTCCACACGAGGGTCGTGGACGTGCTGCCTTCAGGCAATAGGCCCTGGTACACCCTAAACTGGTTGCCAGACAATCGCACGACAAACAACTATTCGCACTCATAATCACATCTAGGGACACCCGGGGGCACTTCTGCATTGAGAGGTGGACGTGCTGTTCAGTCTGCCACCGTTCCAACCGCTACATTGTCCATTCATAAATAATGGAAAACATGTCATTCAATAAAACACAAAAAGTTCGAGTCACCTGACCTCTGAAAAGTGCGAAAGCGCTTCATTTCAGGGGCTCCAAAACTATGCCCATGATTGGACTTCATCTTGTTAAATGGATTTTTATATCATTCTAACGAACAATGTATAGTACAATATTGAGTCACATGTTGCCCACTCAGCATCTATTGCAACCTGGTCTTCCTGGAAGGGGGATTCTCCCATCTGCGGCCCCATCTCAAGGTTTCTCAAGTGTCCCCAGATGGGTTTTTTGCACCTCCTGGGGGTTAAGGTCAGGGCAATAGTTGTCAACTGTGGACACGTGAAGCCCTTTGAGACTGTTTGTGATTCAGGGCTATATAAATAAATGTAACTTGACTTGACTGAATGGAGTGGTCACGTCTCGCATGCAGTTGTTTTTCAATGGTGAGTGTGAGTGTATATGTCAGGGTATGTTTCAAACTACAGTGCACCACTGGAGATTGTACCCTCTGTCGCCCAACAGAAACTGTAAGGCAAGTGGGAATGGTGTGGTGTCCTGTTTGTAGATTGAACTGAGGTGGAAATGCTCAAGTGAGTGCAGATATGGAACATCTGTGCATAGCGTCACTGCGTATGAGGGTGAGAGCAGTGTGCAATTGCTCACGGGCACAGCTTAGAGGGAACATTGGTCTTGATGTACCAAAACGTTGTCAAGTTTCACTGCTTGTCAAACAGACTCAACTTTAACTTGAAAGGATTTTCAATACTTCTCAATGGTTATTCTCAATGTACCGTATTGGCCCGAATATAAGACGGCCCTGATTATAAGACGACCCCCTCTTTTTCAAGACTCAAGTTTAAAAAAAGACTTTTTGAACGCCAAATTAATTTTTATACAGAAAATAATTACAGTACATCTGAAACAAATTATTATAACAATATATTTGAGAGAAAAAGCATGTTATTTTGCCTCATTCAAATCTTAATATCTGAACCTCTAAAGTGCAATCACATTCGTAAATGAATGGCTTCTGGTTTTTGAAATGTAAATTACATCATAACTTCTCCTGAGCTGCCAGTTAACCTGGCCGATCTTCGACCCACTTTTCTCCAGATTGTCGCTACGTTTCTCCATTTTCTGTTATCTCTTCTGTTATTATGTATTATTTTCTTCTCTTTTCTTTTTTACTGCTATTTTTTATTTTTCTTCTTCGTGCTACTGCTATTTTTATTTTTATTCTTCGTGACAGGGGTTCACTTTGGCCTGGAGAGTCAAGTTCAGCATTCGCTTCAAGGATATCTGGCGCCATCTAGCGTCGTGAATGGGTATAATGTCTAGACCCCGAATATAAGACGACTCCCACTTTTTCAGTCTTATTTCAATGCAAAAAACACTGTCTTATATTCGGGCCAATACGGTATATCTTTATTCTCTCATAGTAATACTTCATTCTTGGAAATCATCTGACTTCTATTCTTAATTATATTACTATTTGTGTATCTATTTTGTTTTGAATGTAGCCCGAAATTCCATCGCCCGACTACAGCACCTGTAGTCACATGTTAAGTATTATTGTATAGATTTTGAATGTACAATGGAAACTCCCCTGGCAGCAGACTCGTTTTTTTTCTTTTCAGGCAAAAAAGATATATCATATAGTATACCATTTGACAAAACAAACACTATTGATGAACGTGTTCTGAATTACCGGTAATATTTGGAGATACTGTACAGCACACTTTACAAATGAGTGTCATGATTAAAGATCTATAAACGGTTTATGTGTATAACTTTGATGGTTCACACTTGATTGTTTATTAGGTGATTAGGATTTACGAATAGTTTAAGATGTATATCATTGTCATTTGTCACACATTTACCAAGCTACTATTGTCAATCACAATAATACGAGTAGATCCTATCAGCCAGGCACTAAAAATTAGATGTTGCAGAAATACAAACAGTTTTAGGTTCATCAAGACTGGAACGCAGAATGTCTTTTAAATCACATGAAGTTTGGCCATTTTTTTGTATCATTAACCTGCAGTTATTTATTGCACCATTTTTTTTTTCGAAAGACAGTAGTAAAATGCATGGCCCGTCTTAAAAATCTACAAAACACTCATGAGTCACATTAATATGTCTTTGCAGAAGCTATGCAATTATCTTTAAAAGGAGCATTTCAATTTGTATGATTCAACTTGCACTTACTATTTTTACAGGGACAGAACCTGAATTTGCCGTTACTCTACAATATGTATAATTGATTAAGTATTGCTATGTGATCCTAAACTACTCTGCATGATCTTTTTTGTTGTTTGACTGAGTTTGAAAAGTAGTCATAGAAAGGTTCTCCCTGAAATCTCACGTTGTTATACAAAGTAGGCTTCATCCTGGTTCCGATAATGTGGGAGTCCACAAGAGTCGAAATGAAACGAATCAAAGCAACATTTTGAAATAAATACCATTTTGATAAATAACAGACAAATATATTGCAAAATATATCCAAAACATTATAAAATATATTCTTATTCTTCTTTTATATGTATTTACTATAATTTATGGCAATTAAATATCTCATAACAGTGATTTTGACATTGTCATCCATTTTTAAATAACTTTTATTTATTTTCCAAGATTTTATGACCAAAAAAAGTTTTTTCATAGTCAAATTTTCTTTTAAAATGTCCTTTTTCCACAATGGCCTTTTTAATTCATCTTGCCATTTTTCAGCACAATGACAGTTAAGTAATTGGCAATTGGCTGATCTTTGACACAGGCATATTTAATTATAATAAAATGACAAGAATTAGATATTAAAGAATACTGAGAACATATTTCAAAATAATAATAGCTTATTTTACAATTCCCTGGCCGTACTTTGGATTTGTCTGTTGTTTCAAAAGTTGTTCTTTGATTTATTTCATTTTCAACCTTTTGGGCTGTCATCTTACCGTGGCTCCACTTTCGGGGTTTGATTAACTGTGGATCAGCATGACAAGCATCTGCTTCTCAAGTGCCCCAAAACATCAGTGTGGGTCTGTGGGGGGGTCTGTGTTCGTGTTATTAATATTATATATTTTTGTGCAAGTGCACACTGCACCCTAAGTATCCTATCACTTTTACAAAAAAGTAAAAAAATAATCTAATCTAAAAAAAGCAGGTCACCTTTAACCAACGGTGGCGTGTGACCTCCCTCTCCAGAAGTTGTTAGCGGTCAGCAGTCTGCAATTGCAGCTTGCAGTCAAAGATGTTGCGGTTTTCTTTTTTTTCTGATTCAGTTTGTTTTGTTTACAGTTCATCGATGGCACTGGTAAGGAATTGCGTGTGCGCGTGCACATGTGTATGCGTGCCCATGCGGTAATGACCGATCGCAAAAGTTGGTTGGCTTGAAAAGTTGATCTTCGGTCAAAAAAGGTTGGGCAACCCTGGCTAAAATTAATCAACAGCTAATATATGTTTATCATAAGCCCTTAAGATTTTTTACGCTAACAAGTAATACAATAAACTGTTTTGCCTTAATCTACTTTCCTATTGTATCGGGTCCTAAAAACCTCAAGAACAAGCATAGTTTTCTTCACGTGAATATGTCTACTTTACTTTTAAAAGCCAGTTTCAGTCAAAGGAGACAACTGGCATCTTACAAAGGAACAGCCCCACTGTAATTATTCCTCTCCAGAATCATCATAAATACTCCCTCTGGTCCATCCATGCTGGAGCCCAGCGGTGTGTATGCATTCAGGCTCTCTGCATCCACATCCTGACAAACTGTGGCATCGTGGTAAGAGACAAGTGTCCCGCTACATCCAGAGGCAGGGATGAAGCTCGTCTCCCCCCCTCTCCTCTGTGGTTCAGGTGTGGGAGCAGGAGCTCGGATCCCACTGCTCCCAGCCCCCACACTAGCACCAACATCTCCACTTTTGGGTTTGGATCTCTTCGGTGGCGGACCCCAGAGGAAGGCGTGAGCAGGCTTGTAGTGCTGGCGGGCGTATCGCAGCAGGTGTCTGCGGGCGGCTGGCCGACGGATGGTGTATACGAAGTATTCCAGTATGCTGTGCTGCATGTTGGGAAGCGTGTTGCGATGTAGCGACTCCTCCAAGAACAGGCGGACCAATGGAGCTTTGAAGGCCTCGTAGCCGAGCTCGCCCAGCGACTTCAGAATGCGAGTGATGCGCAGGTAGTTGTGCTGTGACCTTTACAAAATGACACATTAGAGAAAATTAGTTCATGTGACACAAAAGGTGTTTCCACTAAAGACAGTAGCATAGTACCGTATTGGCCCGAATATAAGACGGTGTTTTTTGCATTGAAATAAGACTGAAAAAGTGGGGGTCGTCTTATATTCGGGGTCTAGACATTACACCCATTTATGACGCTAGATGGCGCCAGATATCATTGAAGCGAATGCTGAACTTGACTCCCCAGGCCAAAGTGAACCCCTGTCATGAAGAATAAAAATAAAAATAGCAGTAGCACGAAGAAGAAAAATAAAAATAGCGGTGAGAAAGAAGAGAAGAAAATAATAGAAGAGATTACAGAAAATGGAGAAACGTAGCGACAATCTGGAGAAAAGTGGGTCGAAGATCGGCCAGGTTAACCAGCAGCTGAGAAGTTATGATGTAATTTACATTTCAAAAACCAGAAGCCATTCATTTACGAATGTGATTGCACTTTAGTTTACATATTTAGAGGTTCAGACATTAAGATTTGAATGAGGCAAAATAACATGCTTTTTCTCTAAAATATATTGTTGTAATCATTTGTTTCAGATGTACTGTAATTATTTTCTGTATAAAAATTAATTTGGTTCTTCAAAAGTCTTTTTTAAAACTTGAGTCTTGAAAAAGAGGGGGTCGTCTTATAATCAGGGCCGTCTTATATTCGGGCCAATACGGTACATACACTCCCCAGAAGTGCACTCAGATTGTATAGATCAGTGGTACCCCAACCACCAGTTCGCACAAACAAATTGAAAAAAGTAAGAATAAATACAGGTACTTTTTTGTAGCGGAACATCGTACGGGACTATACTTCAGCAAGTTCCTTTTGCCAGTCTGCAAAAAAAATCTGGTACTGTAATTCCCAGCTGCCTTTGGCAGTAGGCGGGATATCCCCTGAACTGGTTGCCAGCCAATCGCAGGGCATACTGAGATGAACAACCATCCGTGCTTACATTTACCAGTGAGTGTCCCATTAACCTGCCACTCATGTGTTTGGGATGTGGGAGGAATTACCTGGAGAAAACCCACATCGTCACAGGGAGAACATGCCAGCTCCACACAGGAAGGCCGAGGCTGTATTTTTCTATCTTTCATATTTATTACATAACTAATACACTTTTACCGAGGATAGCTCTTCCTCGCAGCTGGCGTATGCGCTCACGTCGTCCATCATTTCCGGTCTTCATAACTGTCTTTGTTAGTGTGTATTATTTTCACCCCAGTGACTGAAGTGGTTGGATATTTTGCCGTTCGAAGTTAGTCACTCTCCGCTGTAACACGGTTCCATGTGACAAGTGCAATAATCACACGAGCGCTTATTTTGGTGTTTTGACACCGCATTTCAATAGCTTGGCAATTAGCATGGCTTCCTATCATTCTCCCCGGCTTCCCTTTGTCTTCATCATAACACTAATTACAGAAGTGCAGCTTTTTCGCCACTGTGGAGGCGATGATTAATGACGCGCGCTTTGTTGACATGGGATGTAAAGCGAACTTTTGCCGTCGCATCAGGTTTACCCTTATTAGCTATCCATCCATAGCTCGTAGGTAGTAGAAACTTTGCAAAATGGTGTGCAGCGAGCATTGCACACTGCGAGGTGATGCGGGTGTACAATTTGGCCATTTCTATGACCCTGAGGAGTGCGTACAAAAGGGCATGCAAAGATGTAACCAACAGGCATTACTGAGATTGAACAGTATGGTCTACATCTCTATCTTGCGGACAAATTCATACCTAATGTTAAATATACCGTCTGAACTGCACACCACCAGTGTCGATGATGCTCAAGTAAGAAATCATTTGTTTACTGACTCGTTAAGGTGATGGAAGCGCTCCTGCCATTTGGAAGAACGAGCAACATTTCCGCTCTTATCAAGTAGTTTGATGCCGTAGAAGTCCAACATCAGGGAATAAGCCGCCAAGAACCTCCGCTTGGCTTCTCGAGTGCTTTGGAATTCCTGTAAGGAGACATTAATGGTGATTAAAAATGGCTATTTACATGTATCTGGCTGTCGTAGTGATGTTCATGATCGCCATTAAATCACAAACACAGAGAAATATTTTGAGGGACTTGTTGTTTTGCAGCAAAAGCTACACTTCTTGAGCAATGCAAAACTGGAGACCACATGTGCCCTACTCCGGTCTTGGATGGTTATCAGGCTCCTGCAGAGCTTTCCGCTGACACCTATGCTGTAGACCACGGGTGGCCAACCCGCGGCTCGCGAGCCGCATGCGACTCTGGCTGGTTCCATGCGGCTCCCGGGCTTTCACACGACAATTGTCAAACGCCTCGGCGATGGCGCTGCCATTCAAACAGCGGTGCTTAATACACAGAACGTACTATGTCAGCCTATCATCTCTGCCTGGTTGGCCACCCCTGCTGCTGTAAACATACAGCTGATCCGTGTAGTGTTAGTGAAGTTGTGTGTGTCTTACTTTAATCTCATCCTGAGTCAGTTCATGTGCGTAGAAGTTTAGCCCTTGTTCTCGTAATGGGAACAGCCTTCCATCCAGCAGTTGAAGAAAAACACAACAACAAAATTGTTCATCAATAAAGTACAGATTATCAGGAATAATGCCATCCACTCAAACCTTTCTGGGGAGTTACAGTTTCAATGGTGCCATACATGGCAACATACAATGTCTTTCTTACCACTGAATGTAGGTGTGATTGTGCTCCAGCTTGTCATAATCACCTCTCCACCTTGTCAAAATTTCTTCGATGTAGATACCTAATGAGACAACGTACGCTATAAACTGACAGACATTTAGCTATAAGTGGGGAATCACTTCACTCTCTTCTCTCGACACAAGCAAAAGGTCTTGTACACATACTGTATTCGAATATATGTTTTTGGCTCACCGTCAGGTACAAGTGGGATCTTGTTAAGGTAGAAACGTAGGTTACGGTACTCGTTGGGTTGCCGGGACTTTTTGTAATTCTGCACGCACACATACACAAAAGAACAAAAAAAAAAAAAAAACAAAAGTCTGAGGCAAAAGCGACTTTGTTATATTACCAATCTGCACACCCAGTGTGTACCTCAGACAAAGCCAAACTGTGAAAACAAACAAGTAGAGTTGTACTTGTGTTTGTTCAGGCAGCTTTATGGTCCATCGGGGATAATGAAGCATTATGCAGACTCTCACCAAATGTAATGATTTCTTCTGTGGCCGCAAATACCGCTGTACAAAAATTTGAGGAAGGTCGTGTCATTATCTCTCTCTCTCATATTCATATATATATATTTATATTTATATATAACCCTTCTGAGAAATGTGTTTTCTCTGGGTTGTTTTCAAATGTAAATAAATATATAATTTTGAAAAACATATTTTGACATTCTTTTTGAACTTGACAACAAATGTTCACGTGTTTTGGACCAGTGGGACCAATTTGAGCGATTTCAATGACGTTTTCATAGCGTATGGCTTTGATCTATTTTTGTTTGTTTGTCAACAGTCCTATTATGGGATGTTTTACGCAGAAGGGTTTTTAAGGGTGCACCGATCACAATTTTCTGGCTGATCTCTGATCTTTAACAAGTGACCTGACGATCTCAATTTTTCCAGTACAGTCAGTATTCTGGCCCATGTCTTTTGGTCTTGGCATTGACGCTGCGTGTGCACTCGTGCTGGTTCCGCATTCACCGACTCACTACTGTTGTATCTGGCTTCAAAGTGCAGCTTATTGATGCAGTAAAGCAGAAAATCTGTGACCACAAGCTGAGTATTGGAGTGACGAAAATTTGATGAAGCTCCAACTTCAGTTATATCTCTGATGTCATTCTGGTTTCAAGGTTATAAACAATGATGAGGGAGTGCAAACATTTACTGTCTGGAAGCATTGCTGGAAACATGTACCCGGTTTAAAGGGAACACATGAACTTTATTCAGGGCTTTCTTGTGCTTGTATGCAGGTCTAATGCTTGCTAAACCATGCAGCATTTATTGCTAAATATTCGCAGCCCCATCATGTGGTCGAAGATGTGTGGTTTGGTTACTTAATGAAAACGCTCAACCCGTTTAACAGTAGGATTATGCATCGAGTATGTTGATTGGTCATGCCTGCATAGTAAGGTAAAGTGAAATGACACACATACAATCCAACTGTTTTTTAGGTACAAGGAAACCTTGTATGCTTAAAACCTTTTTGAGTATATGTAAACTAAAACTACACACAAAACCTTTTGAGTTGTTGTCAACGAAAACTAGACTCAAACTGTCACGAATAGGAAAGACTAAAATGTTACTCAAACTAAAAGACATTAATTCCCCAAAAACTAAGACTAAATCTAAAATGACTGCCAAAAACAACACTGTAAGTGTTACTGTGATACCGCATGCTTTTTGTTGTGAAATCACATGTGACTAAAAAGCATTTTGGATTGGATTAAATCTGCAACGTTGTGATGCCGTTTGTCTGCAAATTGAAATCGCAGCAAAACTAGTGGCTGACTGTCACCCACTTATGAAAACTTGTTGCAGAACCCTACAGGCTGCGCAACAGTTCAGTCCAGTTCACCCACGTCTTTGGCACATAACTGTTTGTGTCTGCAGTTACCGGATAGCAGTGGCGGTATTTGTACAAGTCTCTGGCAGCGTAAAAACTCCTTTTCATCTTTGGTAGAAACTCTGGAGAATCAGTCAGCTGCAGGAAGAAGAAAGAGAGAAATATGATTGAATCATATAAAACAAGGTCATATAGTTTCCAAAACAGAAGTGCGATATCTTACTCAAGTGTCAACTGGCTGTAATAGAAGCATTACCATTGCCTTGTAAATTGAGCAATATTGTCAAGCAAGCAATAATGACTGGAATAAAATCATCTTGATCCAGATCCATTTTTAAATTGACTATACAATGACACAGTGGAGGACCGGTTAGGACATCCGCCCCACAGTGCAGAGTTCAAGTGTTCAACTCCAGGCCCTCGCCTTCCTGTGTGGAGTTTGCATGATCTCTCGCTGCCTGCGTGGGCTTTCTAGGAGTACTCCGGTTTCCTCCTACGTTCCAAAAACATGCATGGTAGGTTATTGAAAACTCTAAATTGTCCCTAGGTGTGAGTGTGAGCGTGGATGGTTGTTCGTCTCTGTGTGCCCTGCAATTGGCTGGCAACCAGTTCAGGATGTCCCCTGCCTACTGCCCGAAGACAGCTAGGATAGACTCCAGCACGCCCATGACTCTCATGAGGATAAGCGGATTAGAAAATGGATGGATGGATGTGTTAATTTGTGCATAATTTAAGATTTCAAATTGTAAGTTAATGATGGTTATATAAGAGCAGCTGCTGGCTGGTGCAATATGCCGCCATTTAAATATGATCCGAATCGTCAACTAATCACGATCACTGTCGATGATTAGTCGGCTAACAAAATAATCTATTTACTGAAGCCAAGACAAAAGGAGCTGACAAATGCTGATTATGCCTACCAGCTCCACAAACATCTTGCTGTATTTGTGTAATTGATCATTTGTATTTTTGTTGAGCGGCGACATTCCCGCACTCCACATACTTGCTGTCGCACTGAAAATGATCTTCCGGAAATGACAAACCAGAAATAACGCATTTTACCCAGAAATAGTTGGAGTGTGCCCATTTGTCTTTCATTTGTAAAAAGTGAAGTAATATTATTATTTTGTGGTTCTGTAGCAGAAAGTTTTTATACAGTAATTACATCTTCCAAAGACTCCATATTTTTTACCCATTGGCTGGCGTTCAAAACACAATAAAAATGTTTTAAATGCACAGTTGGGATGTGGGGGCTTGGAATAGCGGACGTCACAGCAAAGTGATTGCCCGGTTGTAATGTTGTTTTCCAGCCAAGGGGGGCGATAGAAGCTTTGTACTGCAGCTTTCGGAAGGAAAAAAAAGAGCATCCAAATTGACTCAGCTGTCTCAATTTTTATTATTCAAATAAAGATATCCCAACATTATACCTTTGCTATAACGCTGTGCAGCAGTCTATCTATCTATCTATCTATCTATCTATCTATCGAGAGAGAGAGAGAGAGAGAGAGAGAGAGAGAGAGAGAGAGAGAGAGAATATAAAATAAACACACTAAAATCGAATAATTTAAATATCCAATGAGTGAGTGCCATACCAAAATAAATATCTAAAATGGTCAATGAATCACTGTGACATGGAGCAACATTTTAGAAGTAAAATTAGAGAGCTAAACTCCACTTGAAACACCAACCTTGTTATGACAGTTGTTTGGATGATGTACTCGAACTGTGTGTTGCCTGGAAGCCATGTTATTAGTAAGGGCCTTTGCATAGGGTGCCACTTTATGAGCGTGCATGCTTCAAGATTCGATCATGTGATATAGCTCCTCTTGGTCAATGAACTCCCCCTAATCCCATTCATGTGGTTCACATATGAACAAATAGTTGCCATACACCTGACCAATTCTAGAAAGTTGCAGCTTGAATGAAAAACAAGCATTTGTGTGGAATCCCAAAACTCGTGTGGATGTGGTTTTCTTGCCTCGGATCTTTTTCACGCCATCACACAAATCTGAGTTAGATGTACATTGATTAGATATACCCTGTAATGTACCCCATAATACAGGAGCTGAGGAAATGTGATTTTTATACTGTTTGGCCTACTGCCATTTTTCTTTCAAATCAGCACAGACATTTTGCTGGGTCACATTTAAATGTTGTCTCTTCCACCAAGTGATGGTGTAAGAGGCAATGTAATGGTGATGTTGAAAATGTATTGGAAAATGAAAATGTGTTTTTAAATTGTAATTATAGTTCCCTCTGACCGTGTCAACCAAAACTGAGCATTATTAATTTTGCAAGGAAAGAGTATTCTGGACAACAGCAAATATGGGGTATCTTTATTGTGTGCGGGCAATCATAATGCTGTCTGATTGGTGTCAGTCTATCCACTTGACAGTTGAAGAAATAAACGGCCGCATCCCATCACAAAAACGTAGCCTGCCACAACTACTGTTACGATTAGTTCTATACAGTACAGTATTGGAATTGTAATGTGAACAGTTTTGGAGACAGTTCGTAGTCATGTGAGGCTGTCATACAGTATTAGGTTTCATGCAGCCTACATTAGCGACAAGGAAGTGCTGCTGGCTTTTATTTTAACATTACGTGAAGCGAATAGAGAAGATATGAATATGTTATGGGTTAAAGTTCACAACATGGGAGTATTGCTGTCAAGAATAAGACTCATCTTAGATTTACGTAATGTAGAGGTGAAGATAATTTGCCCTTTCTTGTGCCTTGGTCTGCCCCCAAACGTGTTTGGAGCCCCTTTGCTCCACTCCTCCGCTCTGTACGCGACCACCCAACGAAAGCTCCCTCCCCCGTACCTTCGGGGACAAGTCTCCATTGTTTCCGGGGGGCCACTCGCTCTCCGCCGGGCTCACGCTCTCAGAGATGCCGCTGTCGTCTTCCGCCGCAGGTTCGTCGCTCTCCGAGTCCGACCCCCACGTCGAGTCGCATTCTTCCACGGTGCTCGGCTCCTTGAATCGCCAGTTGCCCAACAAATTTCCCATTGAAGACACGCTGCGCCCGCTCCCCTCAAAGGGTTCCCCTCACCTAATATTACATTATTAAGATGAAAATATTGCGAAGTGGCATTTGTTTGCCGCTGTCGAGCGCCGCCGACTTGCACTATCTTCGACCCTATTCAGCGCGTAAATGACAGGGACAAAAGATTTTAAGCCTAGCAACGAGGATGCGTGTTGATGAGGGCTGGCTTTTGCAAATATTGCCCAATAGGAATAGGACTCGGAAGAACTACAATAAATCAAGTTATATTTGATGTGTGACTGACTACTGTATCCATATAAAATAATCGCTTTGCCTTTGTATTTTGTAATTCCAAGTGGCGATATGTGGTTTTCATCACCGGCATTTTAATTGGTTTTGCATCAAAGTAAACATATTCCAAATATTATTTGTCTTCATTTGTGAAATATTTAACAAATAATGTAAAGATGTATATTGCACAGTCTGCACACTAAAAAAAAGTACAACTGCGCAACCTCAATGGCAGGAAAAAAAACAAAGAAAAAAATTGTATAACCTATATAACTATTATGCTAAAGGAGTGTGATACAATTTCCAATCCATCTTGCTGCGAAAGGATTCCTTTGCATCATCCAACCAGCTCTTGTGTGTAGCATTAATCACCCCCTTTATACCGTAGCCTTCCAGTAACAGCAGCATCAGAACGAAGTTGTACCACGTGACTGTAGAGTCAGCCAGCACAGCGAAAGGAAGCGACTACTACCCAACCCCCACGCCACTATTTGAGATGTTGCCATTCAAACAAAAACAGGGATAAACTTCAACTCCCTGCAAAGACTTACTGAGCCAAAATTGTCTCTGTCTTTTTTCTTATTCGACACCATCATGGAGAATACTGCTGACTCAACTTTAGTCAAAAAGATATTTGTGATCATCATCCATTAGGAAACCACTTAAATCAAGGTTCTTGCTAAAAACCGAAAAGCCAGATGACTCATCTAAAAAAATCTAAGTTTGGACTTGACATGGCCACACCATGCATGCGCTTAAGTTATTAATATATTTTTGTGAGCCATTCAAAGGACTTGCTGGCATGTTTCACATTACTAGAGGGAGCAAACTGATAGCCAGTCATTTGATTGCATTCTAATCTGGTAGACTGCACAGTCTGACATCACCCCTGTTTACACATTTGGGAAGGGGTATGTTGAATTGAACTACAATCCCACTGAATCCCACCAAATGGAATCGTTACATTTAAAAAAATGTTACATCCTTGAATGGCATCGTGCCCCATGTATCAAGAATCATTTTGAATCGTCTTTTGTATATAGAGCTGCTCTCCTTCAGAACATACTTTCAATATTTAGGAATTGCATCTAAAGTAGTTCTCTATTTAATTCTCACGTTACATAGTAGTTGCACCGTGACTGTTTTGTAATAACAGTATTTTAAAATGTTTCCTTTCTCATTCACTCTATACAGCAGCACCAAAAGAAAACATAACAATGCATAAACAATTTCCTCATGTCAAATGAAACTGGGAAGTTGGGCAATTAGTGTTCACATCCACTGCAGCCTTCTCCTAAAGAGGAACTCAGAGTGTGCATGTTTTTTTTTTTTTCTAAATTAGCAGTAGGTGTGAACATAAGTAACAAGGCACTCTAATTTTCCTGCAATTGACTGGTGACCAGTGCAGAATGAACCCTGGATCTTGTCCAGAGTCAGCTGGGATGGGCTATGGGCAAACAGTATAGGAAATAGATGTCCTGCTTGTTTTCCACCTCTCCCTGCAAACGGTATAGGAAATTGATGTCATGTTTGTTTTCTTTCTCTCGCTGCTGCAACACACCTGATCATTTGAATAGGTGTGAGTGTGAGCTCGAATGGTTGTTCGTCTCTGTGTGCCCTGCGATTGATTGGCTGGCAACTAGTTCAGGGTGTCCCCCCCCCCAAAGACAGCTGGGATAGGCTCCAGCATGCCCTGCAACTCTTGTGAGGATAAGTGGATCAGAAAATGGATGGATGGATGGTTGGATGGATGGATGTTGGTATGTTACATGAACAATTTATGTAACATTTGACTATGTATTTTTCAACATGTATATGCATTTCATCACATTTTATAATACATTGTCCACCCTGTTAGGTGCATGTTCCACCCTCTCTAAATTGTGTGCTGAACAAGGTGGAAGCGAACACATAGACTTTTTTGTTGTTGTTGTTGTTTTTAAACCAAATTAGCTGGAGCTCTGTGAGACAGCCATCTTTAGCTAGCTTGCTGTACACACAATACTTAAATATATATCTCACACGTTTTCAATTATTTCAAAATATTGCTTACTTTCTTCGCAATTCATCATAAAAGGGTTTAAAGGTAAGTATAGGACATCGCAAAACGTAAATAAATAAATAAATACATTTTTAAAAGGAGAACGCAGACAGGACACTGGTGTTTACCGCTCCTTGTTTGATGAAATTTCCACGTGGGATTTTTCTTTGTGAGGCAAAAAACACCCAAATATCAGTGGAACGCGATTTTATAAAAAAAAAAAAAAAAAAAAAAAAACAATAATAATAATTGCTGCCATTGATTTATATATAGATATGTATATGTATATGTATATATGTATATGTGTATATATATGTACACACAGGTGTACATACATATGACTATCTTGGCCCACTTAAATGTAATTTAAAAACTTGACCAGAAGAGTGTGATCATGTTGTTGTTATATATATATATATATATTGTGTGTGCACACACAACAATAGATTTTCATGTGATTCATAAAATAATAAAGTGACACTTCTATTTCGTTGTCATAATTATATTGAAAAAGTCTCATTGAGACAGAAAATTTGTTTTGGGGACATTGTCATGTAAATCTAAAGTATGTAAGAATGTCAACAATAGAATCGTTTTTAAAATGAACCTGATTCAGCTCAGAGTTTAAGAAAGGGTGCAAAAAGTGGTCAGTTGCCAAAAAAAAAAAAGACAGCAGCAGCAAACAAACATGCTATACTGTATATTTTTTTTTGATACCAGTTTAGTTTCAACCATACAAAATCGTGTCCCATGAACGCTGAGTTTCCTTTTAAACCACTAGAGAGCAGTGTTTTATAACGTAATCCAGAACAACTTGTCATTTGGAGCCAGAGAGAACATTTTAATATCTCAGACAGACATTTATGCAGTCTTGAATCATAATTTTTACAAAATTCAAAAAAGTGGAAACACATTCTCTTTCTGTACATATACTTTGAATGTGAACTAAAATATATAACTGCAAAGTCATGCTAGAATAGGTCACAATGTTTTATGTGAAAGATTGATAAATGCTTCACTTGAGTGAGTGAAGGGTAAAATACAGTCGCACTTCTGTAACTTTTTTTTTTTCGATTCTTTAGGCTACGCCACAAGATGTGGTTTGTCGTACAGGCTAAATTCATATGCTGAGCTCACTCCGAAGACCTGCAGAGTGAAAAACGCAAATGTGAGGAGTCAAGGCAATATTTACTCAGAATATCAGTATAATTAAAGGTTCTTCAAGGTCTAAAGATTCGAAGCACAATGCTTTTAAGGGACAAATTCTATGAGAGGAAAAAAAATGTCGAGAAGAAAGAAATTTTCTATCGTAACAGTAATTTGGCTTGAGCTGCACACACAATAGGAGGAGATTAAATAATGACACCTCGATTGTTCTTCATCCTCTATTAACCAGGTAGCAGCTTGCTATTTAAAAATTAAAGATGTATGTATGTATATAAGCATGCATAGCATTTGGACCTTTATACCACACATAAATATGTCACATACGTATTCATCAAAATAAACATGTGATGATCAAAAATAAATGTCTGATGGGTATCGGCCGGCCAGGAGGAACGCAGCTTCGTCGGTTGCTAAGTCACAAACTCAGCCGTGGGAAGAGTTCAGTGAGAGCATGGAAGCTGACTTCCAGACGCTTCGAGGAAATTCTGGTCCACCATCCGATGTCTCGGGAGGGGGAAGCAGTGCACCATCAAAACTGTGTACAGTGGGCATGGTGCGCTGCTGACCTCAACTCAGGACATTGTGAGTCAGTGAACAGAATACTTCCAAGACTTCAACTCCACCAACACGGCTTCCTTAGAGAAAGCAGAGTCTGGGGACTCTTCGGTGGACTCTCCTATCTCTGATGTTGAAGTCACTGAGGTGGTGAAAGTTTTTTGGTGGCAAAGCCCCGGCGGTGGATGAGATTCGCCCGGAGTTCCTCAAGGATCTGGATCTTGTGGGGCTATCCTGGTTGACACACCTCTGCAACATCGCATGCTCATCGGGGGGAGTGCCTCTGGATTGGCAGACCGGGGTGGTGGTACCTCATTTTGAGAAGGGGGACCGGAGGGTGTGTTCCATCTTCACAGGGATCACACTCCTCAGCTTCCCTGGTAAGATCGATTCAGGGGTGCTGGAGAGAAGGCTGTAGTGCCCCAAGTGGGCAGGACAATTCATTGCAGGACAGCTTGTCCTCAATGTGTGGATATAAATTGACAAATACCTTATGAATTCTGTTGTATTAGAAAAATACTCTACAGACAGAGTTCAGTTACTGCAGACTCATTGATGATCATGTCACGGCCAAATAAATTTTCTTGAATTGCACTTCCATTTTCCTCTTCCCCAGAGCTGTAAAGTAGCAGTGCATGAGAAGCTAATCTCTCAACCCGCCAGTCTGGCTAATGGTAAGTGTCAGTGTAAATGATGAGGCTGCTGTCCACATTGACCTGTTTAGAGACACTAAACGCTATGGCGTGAATGGTGCCCATGATAAATTACGAATCCACAATTACTAAAATAATAGCCAGTGGAAAAGAATCATCAGCATATATGGTAGCATCTGACATGTCGGTTTCCTCATCAGTGAAACGAATCCCATTGTGTTGAATTTGTATTATCTGAAGTCAAGCTGACTGACTGAATCACTTGTCGCTTGAAGCTGAAGCCACGATACGCTGTTCGATCGCTTAAGCATTCGTTTTGGTTCAGTCCAGCAGCAATGGTATTTTTGCACTTCAATGTAAAAATGGATCAGGCGAATGTTCTGTCAGGAGTCAGATAAGAAGAAGAAGAGTTGACTCATCCACAACAGACAACTGAAGGGGAACATCAGTGAGTCATACAACAGGTCACACAGAAAACATTCATGGCAAGGTTGAAGAGACCTATGGATTGTTGTGAAGATGCCTGCAGTGTCTGAATTGTTGCCACACAATATCACTTGCAATAGCTATGGCACCCAAATAGAAATCACTCATAAAAAACAAAAAAAACAAAAAACAAATATGCATTATTTGTATTGCTTTAAATAAATCGCATACAAAAACAATCAGTAAAACACAAACACAAACACAAAGGAGCATTAGAAAAATGTAATATATTTGTGAATTGTTGAACTATTATAGCTACTATTGAACAGTTTCAGGAGATAAACGCCCACGT